ATCTCCATCATCATCATCGCTATTCCCATTAGTGGAATCCTCTAGAAACCATTCCCATTGCTTAATGTCGTGCATACGACTCTTAGGGTACTGATCAAATTCTTTCCCAATCACAAGAAGTCCAAACTCTGCAACACCACAGTACACACAACTACACAATGAGACTCATTCAAGAGCAAGATTCTACATAGTGAAAAGATATAATGTAATGTGCCTCTTCCGAACAAGATTCTAATGAGGAGACTAACAAGATGTTCAAAATATATCAAATTAGACGAATTGGGTTTGGTGTAATGTGCAAAAGTGATTACCTTTAACAGGGTCAATATCGATACTATCCAATCCACTTTCACCATCCGAAGCTCTACTCTCCTCCGTGACTTCGTCGCGTCTCTTCAAATCGAACCAAACAGGGAGATGACCGGATGTACAGAATCTATCGCCGGCGGAGATCTCTCCGGTCTCATATTTCCGGAAAGTTTGGATCTTCTCGCCCACCCGTACCCATATCGGATTCCTCCCGAGAACCTCGAAGAGAACCCTATCGGAAAACCCGGTTTCGGCGGCGGCGGGTTTTAACTCGAGCGAAACGTGACGACGTGACACTGTAAGGTCTTCGGTGTGGAATCCGGCGCCTCTTCCGAATACGGTCTTAACTCCGGGATTCAGAGAGAGCTTCGTGCCGTCTTCGCCTTCGATTTCCATGGTGGTTTCGAGACTTTTTTTTTTTTTCTCGTTTTTAATTTGCCGGCGGCAGCAAAACGCATCGTTTCATCGTTTTTTTTTTATTGTAGTTTCTTTTTCATTTTAACAATTTTCTTTTTGACAAAATCATTTTTTCTTTTTCTTTCTATCATTACCAGGATTTACCAGGATTGCTGTTTGAATCAAGAATGCATAGGGTTAGGTTAGATTGACGCTAATCATTGTAATCTGCAGATTTTGGGCCAGAGAGGATTGTGCTCTTGTTGAGGATATCTTATGGCAAGTTACTACAAAATTGTTAATAAAACCACACATTAGTTTTTGTGTTTTTTGTTGTCAAACAAAAAAGAAAGTGTCCAATTTTTTCCAATGGTAAGAGTGGACTATTGTAAATGTATACATTTATGCATTTCATATATCAAACTCGTTGAGTAAATTTTCAACGGTTTTGTGGTTAGGCGATTAGGACCATTCTAACGTTTAG